GCGTTATGTTGAGACAAGGCGAGGCCAGCAAGGCTGTGGCAAGAAACTATGGATGGCTTGATATCAGGGACCAGGAAAGGTATAATAATTTGGCCTTGGTGGATTGTGATCATGAAGCTTATAAAGGCAAGAGAACAGGTGAGACTGATTAGCGCTGATTACTGTGGAGGAGCAAGGGAGGTGTGGCATGGAGTGACAGGAGCAGGTTAGAGCAGAGAGATGGGTGACAGGTAAAAAAAAGATGAGGAACAGAAATTTTGGCAAGAGGGGCAGAAACTAGGCATGTCACGAAATGGCAGAGATGTGAGCAAATGGGAGGGCAGTGGTGGGTGCTGATCATGACAACAGCAAACAAACAAGAAATACTAAAGCATGCAATAAGGGTACAAAGTAAAGCACCAAAAAGTGAAAAAGTAATTATAATATTTGCAAGGTCCAAAAGAAATATAGTAAACACCAACATGGTAGAATATAATGGTGCAAGTAGGATGAATTTGTATGAATATTTCACAGGTATGCGTAAATGTACATGATATATATTGCACATAACAACATATTACAGGTTGTGTGACAGGTTATTGCACAGGTAGTGAGTAACACTGGGATTAATTCAGTCTTCATTTATACAGGTTGGTCTCATAAAAACGGGAACTCATTTACAAGAGAGACCTGTTAATAGACTTATGATGTAATGATGATATTCAATGACAACTTTCTGAGAGTTTCATTTCAAATGTATTCAGTGGTTCATGAGATATTTTGCTAACAGACAACCATCATTTTAAGCAAAGATCTCCTCTCAGCTGCAGCCACACTAAATTTGAGCTCAGTATGACACACCGACTGATTTATAGTAATTTTTAAGGTCAGTTAGCTGTAGTGGCCATCCTCAGTCCTCAAACATTTATCAGTTGTAGGTTTACGTCCAATGATTATTTATGGCAGGTTTTAATACAATCTGTTCAGTGAGTCACAATATATATTTGCTTACAGGCAGAAAAACACACACAGAAATGCAAAAACACTGTTGTTCATTTTTGTATTTTTGCGGAGGGCAATACAAATCAAGTAAGCTTTGAATAAAAATGTTGGGTTGAACCATAAGAGTGCACACAATAGTCCCAGAGCACTTTACTTTAAACCCATTATTCATGAAATATAACTATTTATGTCTTTGTTGAGTTTTTATTATTAATTTATTTATTTAATAGACTCAAAGATCAAACAAGCAAATTGTTTCATTTTCCTTTCCTTGCTTTCTCTGTTTCATTCCTTTTTTATTTATTTATTGTATCTCTGCTGCTGCACTCAGACCCAGACTAGCTGCTCAGGTTAGACATGAGACCAATAAACAGACTTAATCATGTGTGAGAGAGCGAGAGTCAGACATAAATAAAAAAAGACACTGCTAGTTATTTATAAGAAGTAGATGCATAAAACTGGCAAGAATTCTCACCGACAAAATATGCCTAAAACGCAGATCAAAGAAAGCCCAGCTCTTCTGACAGACATGGAGAGGAGGTTCTCATATTCAGATCAAGGAAACTGGAATGAAAAGACTGATTTGGACAGGGAGCTGCGTGAGTAATGAGTCTAATTATGTTTTGGGTGTCGTACAGAGCTGCTGCAGGTATGATGGATTCCTAATGTTTCTGCTCCACTGAAGGACACAGCAGCTCTCCCAGCCTTAATATCCATCTGCAGCTCCGTGCACACAGGTTTTTCATACTGTCCCAGTGTTTGTGTGAGTGCAGCTTAAAGGCAGTTTCCTGTGGGTAATGGTATGGTAAATGTGTGTGTCCTGAGGGTTAATTGCCAAATTCTGTAGTAAAATGTTGCAATGGAAAACAAGCGCTGACTAACGGGCATGCTGCTGGGCTCAGCGGGACAGAAACTCCTGAAGCATTTCTGTGTTTATAAAAATTATAATTTATTATTATTATTTTTTTAATAGCTTGATTATAAATGACTGCATGCTACAATAATAAATGTCAAATAAACACATATGCAAACAATATGCAGATTGATGGCAAACCAAAATATAATTTTCTTGTGTGTCTGAAGCCTGAACAGATTTAGTATCACTTAAAATTAGGTGGAGGAGGTCTATCTGAGCGCAGCTGTCTGTTTTAAATGCATTATTTAAGCTACACATATTTAGCCTACCGATATGTTAACAGTATGCAACGTTACTTCTAATTGAATACTGTAAAATAATTTGAGGCAACACTTAAAGGGGTAATTCAGATCCATGGAGGTTTTGTAGAATAGATATGAACAATTAACATCTTAAATCTTAAATCTTAAATCTTAATTTATAAACCTTTACAAAGCATTTATTTTCACATTTCTTGTTTATTTTAAAATAAACATACTGTAACAGAATTCCTGCTGGATGTGCCCCAGTGCTACAGCTAGCTGCTGCAACATCTATGCGAGCTTGTACATAACCATGGATTTCCATATAAATAACTGCAATGTGAAACTGGTGGCTGTGAAAATGTTTATGAAATTGATTTTTGCATGAACTGCTATGAAAGATTGAGATCAGAGTTTTCAAGAAGGCAGCAATCCAAAACCAGTCTCTGAATTTCCCCTTTTTTAATTTCACAAGTTGCAGATAAACAAGTAATAAACTAACAACATTCTATTTTATTCATAGAGGTCTTTTGAGAGTCTCTAAAATAAGTTTACAAAGTGTTTAGTCAGAATCTTTAATGTCATTAAAGTGCAACAAAATGATATGAAGTTTTACTAAGTGGAAAGAAAGCAATAGATCTGACAAGACGTTGTTTTTCTGTGCACAAAGATAAAAAAAAATAGAAATTTTTAGATATCCAATCAATTCATTAGGTATTGTGGTTCAGTTTCTCATTGTTATAAATATCTAATTAGACAATCATATGGCAGCAACTCAATGCCTTCAGACGTCAAAATCGGAATCAACTTTATTGTCATTGCACAGTTAAGCACAGCAAAAATAAATTTCCGTGCAGACGTCCAAGGACAACAAGGGTAGACGGAGGTGCACGGGGGCTGCAGCTTTGTTGTGAAGCGCTGCCCTTATCGTTTAGATAAGAAAAGGGAAGAGAAACACGAGGAAAGAAGGTATAAAGGAATGGTCTCTCACACTGTGTCCTTGACACAGGACACAGTGTAACGTAGTAGCAAAAAAACTACCTCAGCACACAAAATAAAGCAACATAGATAGACATATGACATTTTGTTGTGTGTGTGTAAGGGGTGGGGGGGGGTAACGACAAAGGGGGTGAGATTGTCCGTGAACACTGCCAGAAAGTTTTATAGTCCTGATAAGATGGCACAGTGTATCAGCCGGCTCAGCTCTGATAAGGGTCCACAGATGTTCTTGGGGGTGTTGGCAGGAGTAGAGCTTCATGATTTACATATCCTCCACGAGCAATTTCAGATAAGTTGGCCTATCCAAGGCCAAGCAGGGAAGCCATATTCAGATAAACAACAATTGTTTTGGGGCAGGCCGACTCTACTGATTTCATGTCTGCTTTCATAGTTCTGCTGGTACACTCAGTGGTGAATCCAAACAGCCAAATTTGTGGTATTGTACCGGTCCATGTTTGTAGCCTTCTCCAAAGTCAATTCCTTCATGCCAGCGAGTTCCAGGCTCACAAAGCATCTGAGTCTGAGTGATTGAAGCACGGTACAATCCTTCACATGGGCAGGCTGCCTCACCATTGCCAAAAACTGGTGCCAACATCTTCCTAATTTGTCGATATCCCAGGTACACACCAATTAAAAAAAGCAGATAATCCTGCATGTCCTGTTTCCCTTCAGGACAGGAGGGTTCACCTGCACCCTGTTTCTTCAAAATTGTATCAATTGCGTTGAGAGACCAGCTGAGAGACATCTAAATGTGGTGAAGACAAAGTGCTGCAGTTCAAACCAGTTGTCAGAGCAAGGAAATAAGGATATAAAGGGTTTTTGGTTTATTTTTAGGGTTTAAAGAGAATAGTCCAGGAAAGAGAACACCTCCAGTGAGCGTGAGATGAGTGGTCAAAGAAAAGCCTTGTTAATGTGAGAGGAGAATGATCAATCTACTTTGAGATGACAGAAAGGGAACAGCAGCTCAAATAATCACTTGTTACAACCAGAATACCATCACTGAACTCACCACGCGCCTTACCTTGAAGCAGACGGGCAGCAGAAGACATCGGGCGGCCGCGGTCAGCAGAGCTCAATCCAATCCAGTCTTTGGGATAGTGGAACGGGATTCACATCATGGATAGGCAGCTCATAAATCTGCAACAACAGTGTGATGTCATCATGTCAATATGGACCAAAGGCTGAGGAATGTTTCCAACAACTTGTTGAACCTATGATGCAAATAATTAAACCAGGTCTAAAAGCAAAAGGGGTCGAACCCGGTACTACTGTAGCCACAATGAAGTATCCAGTGAGAGTATGTGTGTATTAAGATGTGTGTGCGTAAAAGCAAGTACGTATATTTTATTTTGATCTTAAAGTTGTCCAATTCCAAAAATCAAATACATTTACAGTATTAATATATTTATAAAATGAACCTATTATAGTAATAGAAAAGTAATATTTCTGTATAAAATCTTTAATTTTCCACATGTTCTGATTCTTGAACAGTATTTTATTTCATTCTCTCTTTGGCTGAGTTGAGATATTTAGTTGTTGTGCACAGCTCTGTTCCTTTTTATTGCTGTTCTTGGTGTCATCAGCTCCACAACTTTGGCTACTTCCAAGGTGCAACAAGAAGAAAAAAAAAGTCTGAGTTAAGTCTACAGCATCATGAAGACCACAAGCTGAAATGTCCTAGTCAATAATGTTTTTTCTTTTCATTACTTGAAATATTGCTGGAGTCTGTAACTATCAGGGTCATTATGTTGAACAGTTTAAGCCTTTGGCGGACAGAAAGCTTTACATTTGACTTTTTGATTGTCTGCTTAGCTTAATTTGCCCTGACGGAGATCTAACCAGTCCACTCATGTTTCTGGCAGGACGGGCATTGCTGCGTTTGAACGAAGAAAAGTTAGAGAGGATGGGAATCCTCCAGGACAGTCTGAGACAGGAGGTCCTCCAGCAGGTCCTCCAGCTGCAGGTCAGAGAAGAGGTTCGCAACTTGCAGCTCCTTAGCAGAGGTGAGTGGCCATGTTGCTTTGTGTTCCTGCCATCCTGCCTTTACCTTTGAGTGTTTGTGTGCGGGTGTGTGTGATTGCTTTGGGGGGAACGAGAGAACAGGAAAGTCAAACAAATAGAAGTCAAATTAGGACGAAGCAGCCTGAGATCACGCGTGCCTGCTGTGACATACGTGGAGTCAGACATCAAAGCTCAATTGTTGTGGTTTTACTGATAGAAGCTTTAGATTTGTTGCTCTGGCTCTGAGCGACAACTTCAATGACCTCTTTTGTTACTCCGCCATCGGTAAACTGCTTTGGCTCACACAGATTTGTTTCGTATGGCTTGCTTCCTGTAAATATGTGTCTTTTAGGCTGTGCTGAATCTTTTGTGTTTTCTTCGCATGTGTGTGGGTTTATGCATGAATGGCCATGAGCCTTCAAAGTAAAACAGTTTTCCCTTCTCTGTATTGCTTTGATCTTAGTTCCAGTTTTTCCAAGACCTTGTTTATGCTGCACCTTTCATCTATTACATACTTCCTGATTAAATTCAACATACAAAATATAAAAACTGTAAATACATATTTTAATATCTGCAACATGAAAAAGTCATATTTAATGATGGTATCTACTCTTTTTTTAAGCATAAGTTAGTGTTCAGAGGCAAATGCAAGGACACATTACTTTGGGGACTATAATTCCTGGCCTAAATTGAATTGCAGCAACATCTTAGGTGAGTACATGCCTGGAATGAGAAGAGCTCTGCAATATAAAGGACGACAACAAGCTTAAAGATTTAGTAGTTTAAAGTGGGCTTTTAATCAGTTATCTAAAGTTTTAGTGTGTTGAAAGAGCAGAAGGGTTTCAGACAGAATCACAAAATCGGTTTCTCTGAATGGTTCAGTCTGGATTGGACCAAGTTGTCTGGACTAAAGCAACAGTAAATTAAAATATCTAACATCCCTTAAAGGCTGGAGTTTCAAACTAAAAATGTCTTGGCTTAAAAGATGAAAGAGTGACAGCTGTTTTGGACTGATTTTTAAAAAAAATTAATTGTGATTTGTTGATCATTAATTGATTATTGTGATATAATTATATATATATATATATATATATATATTGTTTAATAACAATTCCACCATCTCACCTTAAATGCAACTAATGCTCTGTTTGTTTTTCTGCATAATCCAGTCCACTGCAGATTGCTTTGAGGAGAGTCCCTAATGCACTAGCCAAACATTTTGTTAAATGAGCAATTTAGGACTGCAGATGGCTGCAAATAACCCAGATCCATGGTAATATCAAAGATCAAGCACTTGTGACCGTCATGCATAATATTCATGCAAATACCCCTGTTGACAGAATAAACAAACAAGTGTGATATTTCCTATTAAAAAAAATGTTTTAATTTAAAAACATCTCTGATGGGTATGACATGATTCCATCTTCAGTTCATATAATCAGCAAATATGAGCAAAGTGAACAATTCTATACTCTATAAAAAAAGAAAATATCGTCTGTGCTTTACTCAAACATCTTGGTTGCGTTTTTTCCTGCATTAATTTAGCCTTTTTTTTTCCTACAAAAATTTCACTCCTACCCTTTCAGTTTAATTGAGTTGTCTCCGAACTTTTGAACACCGCACGGTAAAAGAAGCGCTTTTGTTGACCTTCAAATCAATCGAGCATGCTGAACTGAATTAAACCCAGAGGTGCGAAGCAACCAATAGGTAATGAGACAGAATTAAATTGCTGATTGGACACCTTCATTAACTGGGCAGAGCAAATGTAATTTCCCAGTTCGCGAGGCTTGGACTTTGAGCTTTAAGGGCAGGCTAATTGGGTGGCCTTGTATAACACCTGATTTTCACAGAGTTGGAGGAAATTGGGAGCCAGTAAAGTTTAGGACAAGGGACAGGAAAAAATGTTGATGCTTCAATTTTTTTAACAAAATGAGAATTTAGAGGTGAAAGGGGTGGTGATAATGCAGCAAATAAGGGCAAAGTGTGGGTCTTGGCTGAAAGTGTAAACAGTTTACTAATGAATGAAACCACCTTTAACTTTGTAACTGGGTATTACATGTAATGAAACTGACTACAAATGAAGGATGGGCATTCTAAGCAAAACACTCCTTGAATTTGTCTGTAATTATGAAATTTTCCTTGGAATTTCCACATCCTTTCTTCGTCACGCAGTCCCATTACTCCTATCCACCTGGTAACACACGGTTCACTGACTCCAAGTCCCACAGCTGAAAACCCTCTAATGAAACAGGTTTTGGGGTAGAAGGATTGAGCTGCTGCTAAATCTGCTAGCTGGGAATTTTTATATTTCATTTTCACCATTCCAGCGGATCAATGTGAACTGGACTGCATCTATGGCAGTAAAGTTGAGCTCGCCCATGGCTATAGTTTCCACTTTATGATCCTTTCAAAATAAACTACCATAGAAAAACATATGTTGGAAAGCTCAAAGTAGGTATTTATTTAGTTTTTTTTTCATTTTTTGGAATGAGAATTGGTGATAGGTGTTGTGTCAGAACAAAAACACCCCAATTGGAAAAGTACATTAGGAAACAACTTGGCTTGTCACTATAACTGCCAGTGATGAAAAACATAATTATTATAATAATACTGAAGACGTTGCATCAATTCTTCCAATTTTGCTCATTTTTTCCTAGACTTTGAATGTTCAAAAGTCACTGCTCATTCATAATTTTATTTTAGAATACTTTATGTGAACACTAATCAGGTATATTGTACTTATGCTACTTGTACTTGTACTTGTACTTATGCTTGTTCTTGTTCAGCGTCACAGGGATCTGGTGCCTCTTCATCAGCCAGTGGGTTCGATGGGGGGTACAACCTGGGCAGGTCGCCAGCCCATCAGACCCAAACCCTAACACACACTCACACACATAGGAAGATTTTGAATAACCATCCATCCATTATCTTTACCTGTTTATTCCATTTTGGGTCACGGGGGTCGCCGGTGCCCATGTCCAGCAATCACTGTGCGAGGGGCGGGGTACACCCTGGACGGGTCGCAAGTCCATCACAGGGACACATAGAGACAAACAAGACAAACAACCATTCACTTTCTCACTCACACCTAGGGACAATTTAGAGTTACCAATCAGCCTAACATGCATGTTTTTGGTCTGTGTAAGGAAACCGGACTACGTCAGTAAATCCACACCTGCATGGGGAGAACATGCAAACGCCACACCAGAAGCCCTCAGCTATGGGAACTTCTTTCTGCAAGACAACTGTGCTGCTCCACTGTGTACCCTGACTCAGGGATAATATAGCTTTATTTCACAAGTACAGCTTTTTACTGTGATAAAAATGTTTTATTTCAGTAAATTAACTTATTTTTCATACATTTCACTTGAGGTATTTAAAATAAAAATTGTTAGACATGTACAACATGAACATTTTTACAGCTGATTTAGGTTATTTGGTGAGTAGAGTCTCACAGAAATTAATGTAAGTATTTTAACTTTGTGAGACTAGATAGGAAGAAAGATTTTATTATGGGTAGCAGAAAAAAATCTATTTTAGTTGTTGACTCAGTGACGAATAGAGTAGAGAAGACAAGTCATGGTAAAATGGAAAGATAAAAGCAAGAAAAACAGGCAGACTCAAACAGAAGCTTGTGCACAGAAAGCCTTCGCACACAATTCTCCACACACCAACAACTTTTCTTCTCCCTGAACAATTCTTCTAATATGCTTAGAGTTCTGGAGTGATTAAGTGAAGCCGTCACACCACCTGTCGGGCCTGATACATCTCCAATAGGTTTACCAAAAATTGAATATTGATCTTGCACTAAATTTTTGAAGAGGATGAAAACACAGAGATGCAGCTGAAACCTCGTGTGAGTTTGTGTCTGATTGGAGCCGTGACAGAAGTACAAGGCTTTCACATTATTCACATCAGGGGGGAAAAGTATGAAACGCTTTTGATGGTGATTCCTACACTTTCACAAACAAGTAACAGAGTAACAGCAGCTCAATCTGCAGTTCTTTTTGACAAATGGATAGTATGGATGGTATACACACACACACACACACACACACACACACACACACACACAGA